AAAAAGAAAAAAAAAAAGGAAGGAAGGAAAACATATTTGTGTTAGGTAATAAAAAAATTTGCCAACAGGCAAATAACTCCGGACACAGCAACGCGATGACAGATTTTATTTTTTTTTTTTAAACATACTCTTAAAGCCAAAATATTGCAGGTGTGAAGAAATTGCAAAAAGAACATCAGCATATTTCTTCATATATATATATATATATATATATATATATATATATATATATATATATATATATATGAAGAAATATAATTTTAAGGTAATTGCTATATTTATAGGATAAAGTGCTGAATATCAGATAAAGCGTATGTAGATATAAATATAAAAAGTGAACATTGGAAAGTCAACACTCAAAAGCGACAGACTGTTTCATGCTGGAAGCAATCGTCCAGGCCACCTGATGATTGCATCCAGCATAAAACAAAAATCTGTCACCTCTGAGTATTGACTTCAATGTTCATATATATAAGAAATATAGTCTTAAGATGTGCTATATTTATGGGATAAAGTGCTCAATATCAGAGATAGAGCGTGTTTAAATATAAAAAGTGAACAATTTGTAATTTGTTTGGGTTAATTTATTTTGTTTATTTTATTGTCATTATGTTTATTTATTTATTTTTATTTTATTTTTTCTGTTTTCGATTTTTAAATAACGTAGTAAAAAAATTTGTTTTCATAAATAAAGAAAAAAAAAATAAATTAACCCAAACAAATTACCAAATCACACCTGTTAGACGGAATAGGATAAAAAATAAGAAACAAAATTAATGAATGCAAATAAGTAAATAAACAAATTAGCAAACCATTATGACCAAAATATTAGTTAGACTATAAAAAATCAAACCAAAAATCGGATGAAAAAAATAGCTATAACTGTTATATAATGATAAAAAAATACTACCGAAAATATAAAGTATAACAAATAAATAATAACAAGTAAAATAAATTGACCTAAATTCATCTAAATAAATAAATAGACTATTAAACCGATCCTGATAAACTAACCATTAGAAAAAACAAATAAAGATAATCAATCCAAATAAATACATGAAGTAATAAACAAATTAAAAACTGTTTCCACCAAAATAATAGTTAGAATAAACTACAACTATCAACCCAAAAAAAATTGAATAAATAGCTTTATCTTCCCAAACCAAAACAAAACTATTAAATAAGTGATATAAACAAATTTTACTACGTTAATAAAAACACTGATTAAAAAAAAAAAAAAAAAAATAATAATAAATAAATAAAAAAATATATAAATAAGAAAAAAAAATAAAAACAAGCAAAATAATTTAACCCAAATAAATAAATAAATAAATTACTTCTGGTAAAATAACCGCCAAAATAGACTACCCACAATGCACCACTGACCTGTATATATAAATAGCAGAGAAAAATAACAGCATGAAACTGTCGCCTCCTAAGTTCTTCAAAAATATGCTCTATCTCTGATATTGAGCACTTTATTCCATAAATATAGCACACCTCAAGGCATATTTCTTCATATATATATATATATATATATATATATATATATATAAATAAATTTAAAGTTGATTGGGAAGCAAAAAGCTAGAAGAGAGTTAGTTCCACAAGCAAAAAATACAAGAGAAGAAATTGTTAGTATAGAACTTTTGGTTACATCTAGCAATTTCAACTCTAAAATGATGAAACCTAGCTGCCAATCTGGTATTGTAAATAAATTTGTAATGTTGAAGTACTAAAGCAGAAATATGTAAATATTGTTTTTGATATTCACTTAAAAACATTTAAATAATATTGTCTTTAATATTCACTTAAAAACTTTTTTATGAACTAATATTGATTATGTTTTTCAAGATGCAATCCGTATGTACAAAATATAGTTCATGACTAATGTTTGCTAGTTTGTCAAGTGTTGAACATGCTTATGATGGTAGTTTTTGTGTCCTTATGTGGAAAAATCTCATTAATCTTACTCTAATTTCGCACTGACTAATCCAGCAAAACAGGAAACTGATACAGGTAACATAAGAGTGTTTACCTCAGAATTAGTCATTTGTTCAATATTTACATGATATGTTGTGGTAAGAACATATGCCATGCTTAACTTCTCTTATCTATGTAATTTATGTGTATCTGCACAAAAGACTGTTTACTGTTACATGTTTGCAATGTGCACATTAAATTGAACCACAGAATGATTATATAATGCCTGTCTGTCTGTCTGTCTGTCTGTCTATCTATCTATTTATCTCAGTCTATACAAAATGTAGTTAGCAACTAAATTCTTCTAGTTAGCATTTCTAAATTCTTCTAGTTGCTAACAACATTTTGTTTGTCATTTATAGATACTTTGTTTCAATAAATTAATTTCATTTTTTGCCTGAAAAAGTCCACACTGGACGAAACATGTTAGCTAAAACTACAGTTTTCCTATCTATCTATCTATCTATCTATCTATCTATCTATCTATCTATCTCAATAATGGCCAGTGAGAGAAAGGGCAACTCAGAGTTGAACAAAGACTTTTCAAAGCTCTAAAGTGATGTCATTTATATATAAAACTATTATTATATCCTTGGTGTGAGGTTTAATAAAAAGACTTTATTACTTCCACAATTCTCTATACAATGGAACATATGTTTTAGTTTTATTAGATAGACATATATAAAAACAAGTTTCTGTCTCCTTGTGTGTATACATACATAAAATAGCTATGAATAGAATACATTAGTTTAAGTTGAACCATCATTTTGATGTATTCTTTTTAGATAAATTCTTTTTTTAATATAAGCCTGATCTACCAACATTTTGGGTAACTCTTATGTTCCAAAGTGCTGGTACAATTAAGTTATTTCTTTTAATTTTGCCCATGGCATATTTATTATTTTTCAAATAATTTCTTCATGGTATGATTATTTTGATCCAGGGATCATGCTTACTTTGAAAACATACACTATCAGATTTATTTGAAGTGAAAGCATTCTTATTTTATAAGTAAAAAATTCCTACCACCATAACTATTAAAGATGGTGTTTGTTATTTGTATCAGAGAGTACTTTGGTAACCAACATGCAAGTTACAAATAAAGCATTTCCTTTTTGTTCCCATTAAATTTTAAAACTATTTTCTTATCTTTGCTGCTTTACTTCATGTAAAATGTAGATAATGCAAAATTGTCACCAAAGTTATGCATCATATGAATCATGTCATCATATAATATCATTAATTATTATTTAACTATATATGATACTGTGGAATTACCCCAAATTGTCTAGCAGGGCACTACACTTAATGGCCATTAGGTGGGATTGTATAAAGTAGTACAGATTGAGTATCCTTTATCTGAAATACCCAAATCCAAAAACCTCCAAAATCTGACATGACATGCCACAAATGGATAATTTCAGAAACCACTGGGAAGGGTGACCTGGGTGAGGTGCAGCTGTTGTAAGTGACCTGGGTGAGGTTTCCCAGTTCATATACGTAACCTACGTTGGTGCCAATTTTTGTTAGAGACAGTCACAGCAACACCTTTGTTCGTGGATTACTTAACAGGTATTTCATGCTCAGTAAAGATATTATTCAAAATGTCAAAAACTCCTGCATTTATATTTTTTTGTAAGTAGGGATCATCTTTTTTTGTATGCATACAGAAAGTACAATGTATTATTTTTACATGAAATCTTAATTTCACCACTTAGAAATCTGTGTGAGCATTACATGACTAGTGTCATTACCTGTTTCTGTATGTAGACAAAATTTATTAAATTTTATATAAAACTACCTTCAGGGTATATGTATAAGCTGTGTTCTGAAATGTAAAGGGATTGAATCCTGTTCCTAAGCTGCCCCATTTTATACATGCTATATACAAATTAAATAACCTGTATTCCAAAATCCAAAGAAATTGGAAAACTAAAGAACTTCCAATTTCAAGAATTTCAGATAAAGGATTCTCAACTTTTATATGAGGCCATACACTCTCTTTCTCTATTTTTCTCTTTAATCACGGGATTTCATAATGACATGACAAGTCTCATTTCACCTCCTGGGAGGCACCTTTGACCCCAGGTGAACCATGTGTAGCATAAATCACATTACATTATATCCTATTGGAAAAAAACTCCTGTGGTCACAATAATAACATTATAACATAGATATATAATCTCTTCAATATATAAAAATATCTCAGTTTAACAAATGAAACAACACCATTATAAAGTGGACATCTATAAGAAACTTGTATCCTAATGTTATTACAAGTTTTTCAAAAAACATTTTGTCAGTCACTTTCTCATTTGAAGGCTATTAGTTTGTTAAATTATTAACATTTCTCTCCTTTTCTACATTACTCTTAATTCTGTATATAAATATATATATATATAATCCAGGTACGTGCAGAATTCATTTATTTTGAGATTGTTAAAATTAACCACTGATTGCTCTTATAATTGGTCCCCTTTACATTGCAGTATATATGTTGCCATTGTACTTTGTGCTATATTTCCTATTTTGACTAGGATACATTAGTGTCATCAAAGATTGTATTATATTCGGTGCATATAAACTGTGATACACTATTTTGGTCATCATTATAAGTCATTAAATTATATATAAAGTCATAATCAAATATATCAATCAATTATTTTTACTATTGTTGTATTTATCTGTAAACAGTGTAAAACATTTTGTATTTAGAATCAAAAACCAAAACAGGTTGCATTATACCTGAAATTGATTGACTGATTGGTTTGATTTTACAGTTTATCAACCTTTTGATTATTTAAAAAAAAATATTTTTAGTTTGTAAAAATATTTTGAAAATAATAACAATTTACTGATGCAAGTCCTACTAATTAACCCATAGTTAGGGGGAAGATGTAGATACATATCTTTCCTAAGGATATTTGCATGTAAATGAATATAACAAACCCACCTAAAATTGTAACTCAGTTTTCCGCTTTCCAATTCTGAGCCATTTCCCCACCCACACATCCAAGCTTACAGCACCTGATATTCTCAAGTGGTCACCCATTTAGGTACTGAACAGGTTTGACATTGCTTAACTTAGTTGATCATATGAGAACCAGTGTTTCAACATCATATAGCAGTAAGCCCTGTATTATACATCAGTGTACTACCTTTGTAATTGAGTCTACTGGTATCAATAAAGTTGTTGCGGGTGTTCTGGTGATATGTTAGCCCTGTCTGAATGTAATATTTTTATATATGTATTTTGGGGTTAAAAGAGCTTCATCAGCCCACAGTTTGATTATAAAATTACAAATAAAATCATATATGAGATACAATGAAATAATCATAGACAAAAATGATAAAATGCTTTAGTATACATTTCAGATAAATGATTGTATCTATTAAAGAACATATATACATAAAGAAATAAAAAAGTTTTACTTATCTGTTAGTGGTAACATTTTTTATCAGAGGACTGTCCAGGATATCTGCCTCTTCTGGCTATCAAAAAATGAAGCAAGAGAAAGTTTTGATTTTTGTTTCAATTGGCAGTAAAATACTTGTTCTAATGCATCATAGGTGTATTCTATATTTATTTAACTATTTTTTTAGTCTAACATTTTTCTTTATTGTTAATTACCATTCTTATCTGTATTTGAAAATATTTTTATTGCTTAACTTTTGATTTTTCTTCTATTGTTAATTATTAATTATTTTGGTTCCAGACATATATAGGGTTAGAGGTTATGTAGCAATTTAAAAAAAAAAGGTATTTGAAAAAAAGTACCTATAAACAAAAACAAAATGTTTTTATTTTGCTATCCTCTGCCAGCTGCAATGATGGAGAAAGCATTACCTCACACCACCATCAGTGAGACATGCTGCAAGAGCCACTCTGTTTCATGAGGCTCATCCCTTAACTGAGACACAATCCCTCCAACCCTCCGAAGGAATGCCATTGAATGAGGGTCAATAACCCCAGAAAAAAAATCTGTCTGCAAGATTTTAATATTTAACTATTTTGTTTATCTTTGCATCCTGAGACCCCGGCTCAATCACAAACCTGATCATTTGTCAAAAATGTATTCGCACAGGTTGCATCCCAAATCAATGACTTCCCCATTTTAAAAGGGAAAATGGTAATCCCATCTGGCCGCTTTCCATCACCACAGTTGAGCCCTACAGGTTTGATTTGGGAAGGGAACCCAGCTGTATCCAGACCTCTTCTGATGATGCTGCATGCCTTGCAAAATGGCCTGCACTATGATGACAGGAGAGAGGCTGCAAACCAAACTCATCAATGGAAGCCCTACATTTGCATCTAGGTAGGAATTTATTTGTTGCTATCACTACAAAGTAACTTCTGTATATGGTGGTTTTAGTCTAAAATGATACCTTACAAACTAACAACATACATATGTGCTTACTTTCTTTTTTTGTCCTTTGAGGGTGTGTAAAATCATGGCCCTCCACAACTTTCTATTTTTGTTGTTCTAAGTAACTATTACCCATTGACTACCCAACCTTTTCTTTTTCTGCCATCTTCTAATGTGCTCCCTGAATTTTAAATTTTCCCAGTTTTTTGTCTTTATGAGCTTCTTTTTGATTGTTAGCAGCAGTTTCTTTGTAATTTCTATTCTCCTTAAAACTTCCTTATTTGTCACATGCTCTCTCCATAATATCATTAGCATTTGTGCCTTCATCTCTGAGGAGATGACCCAACATTCAAGTCTTGTCATCTCTGAGGAGATTGACTAATATTCACTGCTATATAGGAGATTAGATACTTTGTCCAAAAAGATTTTATTCTTAAATTGTTTCTTATAAATTGATATCATATATGTGCAAATAGCAGGTACTTCTTAAGCAACCCATAAAAAATATCTTCTAATATCATCTTAATTATGCAGATTGATAACTTATTGCTACATATCTTCTAAGTTTAAATTGTCTTTCATGCTATATAAAAATAAAATATATTTTTTTTACAATGATATTCACCAGGAACCACTCAAGATAGATGGTTACAGAGTAAGAAGTACAATTTAGGTGGCTATGTGGGGAAAATAATGGTTGACCATAGATCTGGAAAGGTTAAGATTGTAGTGATAGGGAAAATATCTTCTTGGGAGTCAGTTCCACAGAGCAGTGATTCATAGAAAGAAGCTGCTCACAAATGGAATGAAGGTTGTTCACTACAATGAGTGGCATGTCGGGTCTTGGACATGAAGGTTAGAAGTGGTGGAACTAAGGAATGTAGTTCATCTGAACACTTTTCACGGAAATAGCGATAGAGTAGCAAGAGGCTTACGATGTTTCATCTGTAGAAAGGGGTTGTAGGGTGGAAGATAATTCATCACCCACAAGGATGTGGAGACACTTTTGGACTCTATCTAGACTGGAAAGTGAAGACTGGGTAGCTCCTGACCATATATGGCAACAATACTTCACTTCGGGACTGATCTGGCTCTTGTAAAGCAATGGTTCATGAGAAGAAGTTACCTACATCTCTACAATTTGTGTAAAATAGCAGGTCTTAGACATGAAGGTTAGAATTGGTGGAACTAAGGAATGTAGTTCAACTGAACACTTTCTATAGAAGAAAATATAAAAGAATATCTGTCCTCCTGTATGGCAGCGAATACAGGATGATCACCTCAAAGATGTAGAAAAGACTTGAAGCAACAGAAATGTGATTCTACAGAAAGATGCTGAGGATACCATTGGCCAAACATGTGAACAACAACAACAACAAGGTTTTGGAGAAAATGGGAACAAAAAGAAAACTTATACTTAACATCAGGAAGAGACAGTTGAAATTTCTGGGGTACATAATGAGGAAAGAGGGCTTGGAAAATCTGATACTCACAGGACAGATAGAAGGCAAAAAAGACAGAAAAAAACAAGCATAACATACTTGATGAGCTTGAGCAAATGGATGGCAGAACAGGGTTTGAGAGAAATAACAAAAAGAAAATTTATTAAGAGCTACAAAGGACAGGATGATGTGGAGGGCCATGATCACCCTACGTCCTGAAGGGACACACATAAAAAAGAAAGAATATATCATTTATCAGAATTTTCAATAATTGAACTTCAGATGGTAAAATCAAAAAATCATTATAAACCAGTAATAAAAATTAAAACAATTTTTTTTTTTGTTTGAAAGGAAACTAATATATATATATTTTTTAACTTTAATAAAGATGTTGAAACTAAAAACCATATTTAAAAATAAAAGGATAAGAGAATTGCAGAATTGTTTTTTAGTTTAATAGAGAGAAAGAAGAGAATTTTATATATTTTCTTTTGCATTTGTTTTAGTTTATAGAATTAATTTAATGTTTGTTTAAAGAAAAATAAAATATGAAAATTAAACATTTTATTAAAAAATAACAATACCTGAAAAATTAAATTTTTTTTATTTTTAAATAACAAAAAAAAAAAAAAAACAACATTTAATGAAATTGAATTTGAATAAACATATTATATAAAAAATGAATGAATATTGAGAAATCTCAAAAATAAATTTATAAACTAATATGCAGTCATGAAATTTGATGCCTGTTTTTTTGATTTGATTGAAAAAATTCCATAAATGGACCTTGGGTAACATTATTTACTTTTTGAATGGGTTCTTCATGAAAAACATTATTTTATAGTGTACATAAATGTTCATAGAATTTATTTTTTAAATACAAGTTTGATTTTCATTAAAATTTTATTTCAAAATAAAAGCATATTGAGGAAAATCTGGCTATAATTTTTTAAAACTTTCTTTTTTGTATATTTTTGAGATGAGTTTATTGAAATTATTTAAATTGTACGGACTGTTTTAAAAGTTTTTTATCAATTTAAGAATTCACAACATTGATGAAGTTATATGCTAAACTTCTCAGGTGATTTATATTTTTGAACTGTTTTTTATTTATGTCTTTTTCAAAAATGTTAAATAAACAAACAAAAATTAAAATGGAAGCATTTTTGGATCAATTGAAAAATTAACTCAAGGTTAAACAGTTCAATGTTAAAATGAGCTCAAAGAAGAATATTTTAGAAATGAATATTTTTATAAAAATTTTAATTTCCTCTACAATAATGGATTTTGCAAATCATGATATAAAGTCTCCTAATTGGATTATAAAAAAAATTTCAAGAACAATTTGAAGAAAATATGAATTCTCATTGTTTTGACAATGACCAAAATTTTATCAATATTGGCAATTAAAAAAAAGAAAATTTAGTGAAAAAAGTCCAATTCCTAAATTTTTTGAATACAAAAAAATAAAATAATCTTTTTTTTATCAAAAATCTGTTTTTAGACCAATCCAAAAAATACCAGAAAGTAAAACTTTTTGTAAAAAAAATAGCATAAGAAAAGTCAATTTCTATACTAATTAGAACAATTTTTCTTCAGAAAAAATCACATATACACTTTCAATATTATAAAAAGTTCCTAAACAAAGAATTTAAACAAATGAAAATTTCATATATTTATTTTTTTTTAAAAATATATCTTCATTAAATTATAGATGATATTTTTTTTACTTAAAATCTTTTAAATTTTAATCCATTTTTTACCCAGATACAAAACAATATTTCAAAGATTTAAGGTCCTTTGAAAGGGAAAAATTGAGAAAATTTAGAATTTTTTAGAAAAATTTTGATAATAAACAAGAAACATTTGCCAACTTTTTTTTCCTTATTTAATGGTTCATATTTGAAGGATTTGAAATCCAAATACATAGATTAAATCACATGTATCTGAAACATTTATAATTTGAGGTTAAAAAAAAATAATCAAGGTTAAAATTTTGTTGTTCATGCAGGAATGTTAGAAAATAAAGTTAAAAAAAGATTTTAAAAAATGACTTTTGCAATTTCCTAAATAAACAAAAAATTTCAAAAAAACCTTTTGTAACTTTTTCAAAATTAAAATGATTATTCTGAACTTTTTTGGAAAATTTTAGAACATATTCATATTTGAATTTTATATATTTTGTTTTTTTTGAGGGCATTTTTTTCAAAAAAATTTTCCTTAACATTGGCCTGTGTCTCATGATTTTGATTATTTAAAAAGAAAATTTTTCAAAAACACAAAAAAAATATACAAATGACCATTTTT